CTTTATTTTGAAGTAACTTGTAGTTTTATACTGTTTTACTGTGCTTTATTTAGAAGTAACTTGTAGTTTTATACTGTTATACTGTGCTTTATTTTGAAGTAACTTGTAGTTTTATACTATTTTACTGTGTTTTACTTCTTTATTTAGAAGTAACTTGTAGTGTTATACTGTTATACAGATCTTTATTTCTTTATTTAGAAGTAACTTGTAGTTTTATACTGTTATACAGATCTTTATTTCTTTATTTAGAAGTAACTTGTAGTTTTATACTGTTATACAGATCTTTATTTAGAAGTAACTTGTAGTTTTATACTGTTTCATTGTGATTTATTTCTTTATTTAGAAGTAACTTGTAGTTTTATACTATTTTACTGTGTTTTATTTCTTTTTATAGAAGTAACTTGTAGTTTTATACTATTTTACTGTGTTTTACTTCTTTATTTAGAAGTAACTTGTAGTGTTATACTGTTATACAGATCTTTATTTCTTTATTTAGAAGTAACTTGTAGTTTTATACTGTTATACAGATCTTTATTTCTTTATTTAGAAGTAACTTGTAGTTTTATACTGTTATACAGATCTTTATTTAGAAGTAACTTGTAGTTTTATACTGTTTCATTGTGATTTATTTCTTTATTTAGAAGTAACTTGTAGTTTTATACTATTTTACTGTGTTTTATTTCTTTTTATAGAAGTAACTTGTAGTTTTATACTATTTTACTGTGTTTTACTTCTTTATTTAGAAGTAACTTGTAGTTTTATACTGTTTCATTGTGATTTATTTCTTTTTATAGAAGTAACTTGTAGTTTTATACTATTTTACTGTGTTTTACTTCTTTATTTAGAAGTAACTTGTAGTTTTATACTGTTTTACTGTGCTTTATTTAGAAGTAACTTGTAGTTTTATACTATTTTACTGTGTTTTATTTCTTTTTATAGAAGTAACTTGTAGTTTTATACTATTTTACTGTGTTTTACTTCTTTATTTAGAAGTAACTTGTAGTGTTATACTGTTATACAGATCTTTATTTCTTTATTTAGAAGTAACTTGTAGTTTTATACTGTTATACAGATCTTTATTTCTTTATTTAGAAGTAACTTGTAGTTTTATACTGTTATACAGATCTTTATTTCTTTATTTAGAAGTAACTTGTAGTTTTATACTGTTTAACTGTGCTTCATTTTGAAGAATTAAACTTGTAGTTTAATACTGTTTTACTGTGATTTATTTCTTTATTTAGAAGTAACTTGTAGTTTGATACTGTTTTATTTGTGCTTTATTTTGAAGTAATGTGTAGTTTTATACATTTTTACTGTGCTTTATTTTGAAGTAAGGTGTAGTTTTATACCGTTTTACTATGATTTATTTAGAAGGAACTTCTAGTTTTATACTGTTATACCATGCTTCATTTTGAAGTAACGTTTAGTTTCATACTGTTATACTGTGCTTTATTTAGAAGTAACTTGTAGTTCTATACTGTTTTACTGTGCTTTATTTTGAAGTAACTTGTAGTTTAATACTGTTTTACTGTGCTTTATTTTGAAGTAACTTGTAGTTTAATACTGTTTTACTGTGCTTTATTTAGAAGTAACTTGTAGTTTTATACTGTTTTACTGTGCTTTATTTTGAAGTAACTTGTAGTTTTATACTATTTTACTGTGCTTTATTTTGAAGTAACTTGTAGTTCTATACTATTTTACTGTGCTTTATTTTGAAGTAGCTTGTAGTTTTATACTATTTTACTGTGATTTATTTCTTTATTTAGAAGTAACTTGTAGTTTTATATTGTTTTACTGTGCTTATATTTTGAAGTAGCTTGTAGTTTAATACTGTTTTATTGTGCTTTATTGTGAAGTAACTTGTAGTTTCATACTGTTTTACTGTGCTTTGTAACATGTAGTTTTGTGTCTTTTATTGTACATGTATTGTACATGTACCATAAGACGACATATCTTAAAATGATTTTTCTATGAAGTATTAAATTAAAGTAGTTTTGAATGTGACTATTAGACTTACATCTTGATAATCAATGTCTGCATCATTCTGTAGACTTAATGTTAAGGCTTTTATATCTCCATTCTGAGCAGCTGTAATAAGTTTCTGTAAGTAAAACATAGAAATAGATTTTAATGAATGTCCTTACTGTTAAATTAGGTAATAATTATAGATTCTTCTGTATAGCAATGACTACATAAATCAGTAGTATCCTTCCTTAATAAAACATTCAGACAGAGAGGAAATATTTAAAAAGCGTGTAATTGTTGGAATTTATGCATTTTATATTATCAAGATAAACAAAAATTGTTAACCTTTGAGAACTATTTTTTTTAAAATAAAATAAAATAAAATAAAATAAAATAAAAATACAATGTTTTTGTTGTTAAAATGTTTGTTAAAATTATTCTGCCATCATGTGTTAGCTTTCTTGCACAGTGGAACGAATTATACAATAAATTATTGTCAGTTGTGTTCTGTGTAAACTTTGTGTTTAATTAACGTCTTTATTTCAAAATATAGACGACATTTTACTGGCAATTCTGTACCATTTCGACTGGCTTCCCTTGGCCAGAGGTACTACTCCCAATAGCGTCGGGAATACTGTAAAGTGTTGAAAAAATTTAAACACAAGTCATCAGGATACGAAAAACAGTGATTTTCCTGCCTTTATTTTAGGTCCGAATATCGGCCCCGTTCCCAATCAGAAAATACCTAAAATTTTTCCCAATTGAACCTGTAAAATTCCCAATTCAATCAAGTTGTAGAGGAAAGGTAATTGATAATTTTATTGTTCGTATGATTTAGTTCAAAATATAGGTTGTTGTACTGTTCCCGGAGTAATCATGTTGAATATAGACAGGTAACTATCATATTTCGACCGTAAACCAGTTTTAACAATGGGTAAGCTTAGTTCAGCATTTGGATGACGTGTGGTGGTTAATGGTAAGAATATGGAATGATAAAAAGTGATGATGCTGTGTTATTATCTGAATAACATTTTAAATACATGCCTACATGAAAAACTAAAAGATTTTCATTATTTTCTCACACGTAAATGTTTTTTGACAGGCAATGTCATACTGAGCAAGTATGGCAGTTTGGATTATTTTTTTTGCTGTGAATTGAGCATGCCCAAACAGACAACATGTCCTCTCATTATTCAAAGTATTATGTTCGCAAATAAAAGAAAGGCAAAGATGACACTGATTGTAAAAATCTTGTTGAGCTTTAAAAAATCCAAAATTAGTACTGAAGATACTTCAGGGACTGATGTATTTTGAACGAAAATGTTTCTACTTTTACGGATGTAGAACAGGATGAAGCCGTGGTTGTGGGGGATAAAGGCACATAAGCAATCGCCACAAACCCAAGTACTAACACTAAACAAATTGTTTCTACCCAAACATCTCAGCATGATTCACTTAAAATGAACTCTGCTCATGTACAAAGAGAGACTGACCGTCAATCCCACTCTTGAGTGCGACCATAATCAGTGACAGTTGTCGACTCTAACTCAGAACTAAGCACAGAAAACATTATACCATGCCATATAAGTGTCGGTTAGAGAAATTTTACTGACAAGAAAACTTGCAATAAATCTCAGGGTTGTTTGACTGGGTTGATATGTTTGAAAATTGGAATTTTGAAATAATAAATAACATGTACAAATTGTGACTTGGATGGAGAGTTGTCTCATTGGCACTCATACCACATCTTCTTATATCTACATCCTTAAAATATGTTGAAACACATTGATTTATTTTTTCCCAATTCATACGTTTTACGACACATTTTTCCCAATTGCCTAGGGCCCAGGCCCCATTTGAAAAAGGGTAGGAAAATCACTGAAAAATCTTGTAACCTGGTAAAGTTGCTATTTATAACGTTACTCACCATAGCAACATTGTGACGTTTTAATTTTCTCAACCCAATTTTGTACCTCAGCATGATTTTATGTATTGTTTTCTATCCTGATGACAGTGGCCTAGCCATCGAAACATGTCGCTCTCAATAAATTACTGAAGCATTCCTTAAAGTGTTGTTGTTACTGGACCTTCTACATTTTATGTTTTTATCGTAACGACCCTGCATAACGGAGGTATCCACTTTATGGAATCTACTGACAGAAGATTTACCAGGCTTTGGTTCACTTGTGTTTAAATTTTTATATAAATGTATGTAGATAGGGAGGTCAGCCAAAATATGAAGTATAGAGGAAGTGCATAAAATTACATTATTATGGAAGAGCACAAAAAAAGAAATTCATTGGTGCCAAAATTTTGGGAATCGGTCAAGCGGTTCAAAAGTTATGACCATTTAGATTTCAAAATTTTGGCCGTTTTCCTTGCGAAGGCAAAAATATCATATTTTGGGCTATTTTTCAGGCCAAATATATCAAATGGGTTAGGAACTGCAAGCAATCTATATGCATTATTGCAATAAGACTCTTTTATGCTTTGATTTAAGCCACTATAGTCCTTTGTAACATCAATATTAAGAAAACTACAATATCTCAAACTTTGTAAAAAAAAACTTTGGACTTAGTTTTTTTTTGCTATGTGTCAAGGGCATCTTTGAATAAACTGCTATGTTAAGACATTGATATCTTGAAATGGAAAGCAGGCAGAGGTCTGGTTGTTTGCAGTTATGTAAAGACCTAAACAGTCAACAGAAATATATTAACAGTTGTATTGCCAACATATCTGAATTTTTTTTTAGCCGACTCAAAATCATGCCGGCAGGCCCCCCTTTTTTTAGGTAGTTTTTTTGGGGGAAAAAATACATTTTTGGTCAGACAATGCTGGAAAAAAATCCCTAATTTTTTCTACTACTTGTTTTGTATTGGTATTAAGTTGTTTCACAAATAAAATAAGCTCTGTAAGCTAATAAAAAAAAATTGAATTAGAAAATCATCATTTTGACTTAAATTTTTGAGCTATTTTTCGCCAAAAAGACACTAAAATTTACACAAAAACTTAATTTCATGATTTGACAGTAATTTTTCACAGAAGTTAGTGACTGCTACTGTGACTTTACATGTAAAAGCACCTTTTTGCCATATATTAATAGAATTTAATGCAATACAAATTTAAAAAATGGTCAAAAATAAGAAATGTTTTGACAATTTTGAAAATCGCGGATTTTTTCAAATATTTGCGCAGTTATGCAAAAATTTAACGGAAAATTGGAGATTTTTACACATGTTTGGTATCATATTAAAGCTTACAATCTTAGCTTTCAGTTGAACCTAATTTCATTGTATTTGGCTGATTGATATTTATCCTAGATGGAATTTGGTTAGCCCTATACCTGCATGAAAAAAAACTATAATTTTGAAAAATCCCAAATTTTGACCGAGAAAATAAAAATAATCCATTTAAACTCTAAGAGTTAAGTCATTGCTTAGTCAGACATTGCTATAATGATGTTTTCTCTTGGAAAATGTATTATTTACACTAAAATACTCTCATTTTTCAAAAAAATTGGTAAATATTTTGCGAAAAACCTGTTATTCCTATAAAAAATGGATATGTCGAGAACTTATTATATATAAAGACCAAGATCAATGCAGTCTTTAAGTCTAATAATCCATTGGGATTTGCAATAGTGACTATCTGAACTGTTTTGGTATTCATTATAATTATGATAATGATACATAAACTATTCATCATTTGACTAAGTTTATTGAATGTTCTAAAGTATATATTTTCAGGACCTAGCTGTTTCTTCACCAGAATTTACCATATCTACAATAGACAATATGTACATTATACGAATTAAATATTTTGTATTTGTTCAATTAACTTGAGAGTACCTGCAGTTTCTTACAATTCATATAAAATCTGGTTTACATGCAATCTGAAAAAAAAGACTTTTTATTTTTGAGATTGGCTGCTGACAAAGTGGTTTTTCTGGATTTACCGTCATCAGAGATGCTCATGTAAAAAAAAACAAATAAAACTCAACTAGATATCATTGAGATGGGAGGCATCTCTGTGGGCCCCGCTGTGAATAATGTGTGGTAAAAAATTTGTATCTTTATCATTGGACATGGGGTTGTCAACTGAAACCAAAGTTTTTGACCTTGACCTTTGACCTAAGAAGTTGTACATAAATTATGACACACCCTCTGGTGTTGTTTTTTATACACATATCAAGTATAAACTTTGAAATCATAATGGTTCTCAATATATAGAGCGGACACGATCTTTACCATAGGACATGAGGTTGTCAACTAAAACCAAAGTTTTGACCTTGACCTTTGACCTAGAGAGATGTTCATACATTATGACACACCCTCTGGTGTTGGTTAATATACATGTCAAGTATAAACTTTGAAATCATAAAAGTTCTCTAGATATAGAGCGGACACAATTTGTTAAGGACGGACGGACGGACAGACGGACGGACTGATCACTATAGGGCGTCCACCATTCGGCGGGGCCCTAATAAAGGTCAAATCAATTTGCTGCAAACATTCTACAAATAAATCATTACAATATGATAATTAGTACCCTGGATAAATTTCTACAAAAGAAGAAAAATAGGTTAAGAAACTAAAAGAAAACTAAAAGAATTAGTGCTGAAAGACAAGAAAACAATCATTAATCTTGCTGAAAAATAGTTTGTCTACAATAAAATCCACACATCTCCATTCTGGTATTCCTCTATATATAGTAGGCTTCTTGAAAACATTGCTGTTGCTGTCATTGACATCATCCCCCTTCTCAAAGTCATATGCAATATATGACAACCCTGTATCTGCATCATGCCCTGTGTACTAAAACTCCTTCCCATCAGCCTCTCGACAAAATCTGTGGTCTACTCGTCTAACTACAATAAAAGCTGGATCCAGGGGCGCAATCTCAACTCATTCCTCTCCATGTCGTTGTTCCCTAGAGTGTGCCCTGTCCTAGTGGAAAACCTTAAGTTAATCAAAATAAATCTAGACTGTTAAAAGTAAGTTCTAAATCTTAAACAGAATGAAGAAATTTATTTAGGTCAACTCATATACATGTGTGTCCCAGTAATAACTTTTTTTGTGGAGACATCGTTGCTCATTTTTACACTGTATTTAATTCTTTTTTATCCGTATCATATTATATTTCTGAATCTGTTCTCTATGCTTCGTCAAAAAATTTCTTATTTTTTGCAGTTTGGAAAAAAATGAAAACAACATGTTATAAATTTTGTGCGTCCAAAGTGCTTTTCTGGATTTACCTTCATCAGGAACATATTAAGATGCTTTTTAACTGTGATTCCCTATAGAGAACCCTTTATTTTACTTCTATTAAATGGTTTGACTGGTGGTATTATAGCACTATCTTTAAGCATTGTATAAATTATTTTGTTTTTAAAATTTAAAACATTGTGCAGAAGAAATTTATTTAGCTGAGCTGTAGAATTATATAATATTAAATTCAAATCATACACATACATGTTCAGGATGTGCTTCATCCAAACTTTCTAACCAATTCACTGTATGGGTTTTGAGTCCAATATTGGTATTTCCCTCCAAGGCGTTGGTAGTGACTCACCACATGACTCTGATGAGACTGTCTAACTGGGAGAAGATCCTTTCAGGCAGATGGATGGACAGACAGTATCATTCCTATAAACACAACAAAACTTTATTGTATAATAGACTAACAAATTCAATCAAATTTCAAATAATCTGAATTTTTATTATTTTAATACAAAAATTGTTCAGAGGAAAACAGATTTTTAATCTTGATCATATTTGTAGGTAGTCATAAGGTACATGTGTTATAAGTAAACACAGCATCTGCAATTCTGTTAATAACTTAACTGTCAGTTAATAGGCATCAATATTAAATTACATAATAAAGTAAAAGTGACAATTATTAAATTCAAAAGTCAAGGAAGAAAATCAAAAGTTTGAATATAAATATAAATGAAAGATGCAAATATCAACTAAAATTCTTTATAAACAGTGTGCATATTTAAGAAAACATCTACAATATTGTTTATTATGACCAATTAGTTAAAATAACATACTCATGCTACTGTTGAAAAATCATAAATATAAATTTTTAATGTACATGTATAAATGTGTGCAAATATTCTTCCAAACTGTCATATGTATACATTTTTTGACAGAAAGCATTTTTGAAAAAGAAAATTTTAGTTCATTATGCCTAATCCATAAGTTTAGAATAAATATATAGTTGGTTATATACTAATCTATGGTTTAAACAACATATTCCTGTCTCAAAATGAAAAAAAACAAATGTAATGTGTTCAAATTATACCAACTATCATCAACTGCAATGTAAAGCACCGAAAAATCCGAGTATTATCAATGAATAAAACCCGAGAAATTCCGAATGGATCACATTCCAACGTTAGGAGAATTTACCTCATTACATATTCATAGCTTGATAAAAAGGCCATGGGAAGCGTTTAAAAAAAATTGCTGGTAGAAAGTCCCTTTCAATTTATAAGTTTAATATATTTAAACAAAAAAATACATCCTGGAAATAATTTAAAGTTATTTTTGTTGACTTTTATGAAACAAGGAATTCCCCTCCCTGAAATATGGCAAATTTGCTTATATAAGATATAATAAAGGTACTTACCTTATGTGATTGGCCTCCGTGGCCTATTTCCAACGTTGTCTGTCCTCTCAGTAAGCAGTCCGTCCAAAAAATAGTCGGTAAAAGTCATTTTGTTACAAGTTTCATGTTTCATGTTAGACACAATGGCGGATACGTCACTTCCGGAAGTCAAGAACAAATAACTCTTTTCGCAGATTTTTTGCGTGAAAACCACGCCCTGCTCATACAAATATCCAATCAATTCCGCAAGCCGCTATTGTTTTCCATGTGAAACCATGGATACGTGTGGAAGGAGAGAGTTCTGGAATTTATGAATCCGAGTGTCAGTGGTGTTTACAAAGTCGTAAACGATTTTTTTTTCACATCTATTTCAAAGATTTTTCATATCTATACTGAAAATCGACCGTTAAGTATGACTGACAACCGGATCATAAAACTTGAATATATTTCCAAAATTTTAAGCCATCAATGAAGAAAATCTGACGAGTAATAGCTTGCGGAATGAATTTCAAAATCAGTAGTACCTTTGACACATAGTTTTTCCGGCGGCCATTTTTTTCAAAACAACTCCACTTCAAACATTTTTTTTATCGAACCAAATCACTGCAATACCCATAAAACTTATATATTTAGAAAGATAAATGTCTGAACTTTAATTACATATCAATTGTTTGCTCATACAATATATTTTTTTCCTTTTTCAAAGCAGTTGAACTTGGGTAAAATCCGATATTTTTGCCGTCGCAAGGAAATCATTACGTTACGATAATCGCATTGGTGACCTCCCTAATGTAGACTGAATAAATGTAGATGTGGGTTATAATAAAGTAATGAGACTGTAACCTAACAAGAAAAACAATTTATGGATTAAAATGATGTGTTGAATCAATTGGCCTTTATATCATAAAATAGATACATGTATGTCTTATTCAACTCGCATGAACTTAACAATGTCAAGGGGAGAGAACTTCTGTATTTGTTTTATTTAGTAAAATTGTCCAATATTTTTTTCTAATAACACTATAGACCTATGAATTACATAATTGACATTTTAAACAAGGATTCTGAAGGTACTACATAATTAATACACTGTCTACTACTGGAAAGAACTTTACAGAGTATACACTCATAACTTGAAAAATATTTGATAAATTTCTTACTGAAAAAACTTTAAATTGCATTTTTGTTTGTCATCAGTTACTCAATACAGATTCAAATGCTTTTTGTGTAACTAAACTGCCACTCAGTATTGTATGATAATAACATAGCACTCCCGTGTAAGTTATTGACACCCTTACCTCAGAGGATATATATTAAAGTTACTAGGAAATCTGCATGTGTGCAAGTGTCAACTGTGTAATGAGAACAAGATAAGACAAGTAATTAAGTGTCTCCCGTCTTATGAGAAGAAGATAAGACAAGTAAGTGTCACCCGTCTTATGAGAAGAAGATAAGACAAGTAAGTGTCACCCGTGTTATGAGTAGAAGATAAGATGATCAAGTGTCACCCTAGTAATGAGTAGAAGATAAGACAATTAAGTGTCACCTGTGTAATGAGTAGAAGATAAGACAATCAAGTGTCACCCATGTAACGAGTAGAAGATAAGACAAGTAAGTGTCATCCATGTTATGAGTGGAAGATAGACAATCTAGTGTCACCCTCGTAATGAGTAGAAGATAAGACAAGTGTCACACATGTAATGAGTAGAAGATAAGACAGTCAAGTGTCACCTGTGTTATGAGTAGAAGATAAGAAGAGTCAGTGTCACCCATGTAATGAGTAGAAGGTAAGACGATCAAGTGTCACCCGTGTAGTGCGTAGAAGATAAGACAAGTAAGTGTCACCTGTGTAATGCGTAGAAGGGGGGGGGGGGGGGGGGGGCTAGGATGAAAAATTTTGTCCTGCCTATTTATTTTTCCATCTATTCAGTCCTGCCTTTTTATTTTTTACTCTATTCGGTCCTGCCTTTTTTTTTATTAGTTTATCCTGACTTTTTTTTTCCTAAATTGTCATCCTGACTTTTTTTTTGGCAAACTGTCTCATCCTGCCTTTTTTTTTACTCAAAACTCCTGTCCTGCCAATTTTTTCAAATTTCATCCTAGCCCCCCCCATAAAAATCAAATGGTAGCTCCCTTAGTTATTAGCAACACCTAAGTTTGTCAAATGTTTTGAGTGCACCCTGCTTTGTCCCAGTTTTGAATTTTTTGTTTGATCTGTGTTCTTGGAATAAGCAGTTTTGTAGTTCACCTAGAATTCTACTAGTTTTTATCTCAAATTATCACATACTTGTATCTAATTGTACAATAATTGGGAACAAAACGACACATGACAAGGGGACTATTAAGTAAATCTTACCTTATTCCAATCTTCCATTATATCCTAAAAATAGAAAAGAAAAGTTATATTCAATATATAATGTTGAGTTATCATTGAGGAACATGTATTATAGTTACTGCCAATTAAAAATACATGATCATTATTGGATGTAAAATACTGACCTAATATTTTTAGATTTCATTCAAATAATAATAGCATTGAAACAGTCATTTATCTCAACTTTTCTGCACTATTTGAAGTTAATGAACTGAACTAAAAACCTTTAAGATCTAATCACATACCTAAATGAGGTACAGATGTATACTACAAGCAGGGTGTGACTCTTTCCATCGAACACCAGAACATCTATTGCACTTTTCCAGACCTAAGAATTTCAAGTTTTATTTACCAGCTTTAAGACACACATAAAAAACAATATCAAATATCAAGTAACAGTTTCTTAAAACACTGTCCATAATCAACTACATCTGTCAAATTAAATTAAATGTTTATGTGCCTGTCCACAGCCAGGACCTATAACATAGTGGATTTAGTTAGAAGTTGTGTACCATATTTATTTTTCCTTCATTGTTTTTTTCGGCTGTGGATTTTTTCTTTTGAAATGTTTCACATTTTATCATACCAAGGCTATTTATAGATTATTATATGGTATGAGTTTTGATCATTGCTGAAGGCTGTTGGACAGCCTGTAATTGTTTATAACTTTGTCCTATGGTCTAGGAATAATTGTATCATTGTTAATCATACCACACCTCCTTATTATCATATGGTATGGGTTTTGCTCATTGTTGAAGGCTGTTGGACAGCCTGTAATTGTTTATATCTTTGTCCTATGGTCTAGGAATAATTGTATCATTGTTAATCATACCACACCTCCTTATTATCATATGGTATGGGTTTTGCTCATTGTTGAAGGCTGTTGGACAGCCTGTAATTGTTTATATCTTTGTCCTATGGTCTAGGAATAATTGTATCATTGTTAATCATACAACATCTAATTATTATATGGTATGGGTATTGCTCATTGTTGAAGGATGTTGGATGACCTGTAATTGTTTATATCTTTGTCCTATGGTCTAGGAATAATTGTATCATTGTTAATCATACCACACCTCCTTATTATATGGTATGGGTATTGCTCATTGTTGAAGGATGTTGGATGACCTGTAATTGTTTATATCTTTGTCCTATGGTCTAGGAATAATTGTATCAATGTTAATCATACCACATCGCCTAATTATTATATGGTATGGGTTTTGCTCATTGTTGAAGCCTGTAATTGTTTATATCTTTGTCCTATGGTCTAGGAATAATTGTATCAATGTTAATCATACAACATCTAATTATTATATGGTATGAGTTTTGCTCATTGTTGAAGGCTGTTGGACAGCCTGTAATTGTTTATATCTTTGTCCTATGGTCTAGGAATAATTGTATCATTGTTAATCATACAACATCTAATTATTATATGGTATGGGTATTGCTCACTGTTGAAGGATGTTGGATGACCTGTAATTGTTTATATCTTTGTCCTATGGTCTAGGAATAATTGTATCATTGTTAATCATACCACACCTCCTTATTATCATATGGTATGGGTTTTGCTCATTGTTGAAGGCTGTTGGACAGCCTGTAATTGTTTATATCTTTGTCCTATGGTCTAGGAATAATTGTATCATTGTTAATCATACAACATCTAATTATTATATGGTATGGGTATTGCTCATTGTTGAAGGATGTTGGATGACCTGTAATTGTTTATATCTTTGTCCTATGGTCTAGGAATAATTGTATCATTGTTAATCATACCACACCTCCTTATTATATGGTATGGGTATTGCTCATTGTTGAAGGATGTTGGATGACCTGTAATTGTTTATATCTTTGTCCTATGGTCTAGGAATAATTGTATCAATGTTAATCATACCACATCGCCTAATTATTATATGGTATGGGTTTTGCTCATTGTTGAAGCCTGTAATTGTTTATATCTTTGTCCTATGGTCTAGGAATAATTGTATCAATGTTAATCATACAACATCTAATTATTATATGGTATGAGTTTTGCTCATTGTTGAAGGCTGTTGGACAGCCTGTAATTGTTTATATCTTTGTCCTATGGTCTAGGAATAATTGTATCATTGTTAATCATACAACATCTAATTATTATATGGTATGGGTATTGCTCACTGTTGAAGGATGTTGGATGACCTGTAATTGTTTATATCTTTGTCCTATGGTCTAGGAATAATTGTATCAATGATAATCATACCACATCTTCTAATTATTATATGGTATGGGTTTTGCTCATTTTTGAAGGATGTTGGACAACCTGTAATTGTTTATATCTTTGTCCTATGGTCTAGGAATAATTGTATCAATGTTAATCATACCACACCTCCTTATTATCATATGGTATGGGTTTTGCTCATTGTTGAAGGCTGTTGGACGACCTGTAATTGTTTATATCTTTGTCCTTTGGTCTAAAAATAATTGTATCATTGTTTATCTAACCACACTTCCTTATGATTATATGGTATGAGTTTTGCTCATTGTTGAAGGCTGTTGGACGACCTGTCATTGTTTATATCTTTGTCCTTTGGTCTAGGAATAATTGTATCAATGTTAATCATACCACATCTAATTATTATATGGTATGGGTTTTGCTCATTGTTGAAGGATGTTGGACAACCTGTAATTGTTTATATCTTTGTCCTATGGTCTAGGAATAATTGTATCAATGTTAATCATACCACATCTCCTAATTATTATATGGTATAGGTTTTGCTCATTGTTGAAGGCTGTTGGACGACCTGTCATTGTTTATATCTTTGTCCTATGGTCTAGGAATAATTGTATCATTGTTTATCATACCACACCTCCTTATTTGTATACAATAAAATAATCTAATGATCACAGATAACCCCCTCCCTCTTAACATACTTAATGTACTTACAGGATTGAAGCTTGAAATTCTTTTCTATTAGTAAGTTTTACAATTTGCTTAAAAATATGTTAAGTCCTGGACCACTTGAATTTTCAAGTGAAAGGCCCTCCTCAAGAAATTCAATGGTCCTGAAATAAGTACTAACGTAACGGACTGTAGGCCATGGACCTTTGTTTTCCAAAATTCAAAGGTTCTCTCACAGAAATGAAAGGTCCCTGACCATTGGGCCCACACTAATTTAAAATGTTATACATTATAATGTAATGGTGTGTTATACTGTAATGGTTATACATTATAATGTAATGGTGTGTTATACTGTAATGGTTATACATTATAATGTAATGGTGTGTTATATTGTAATGGTTATACATTATAATGTAATGGTGTGTTATACTGTAATGGTTATACATTATAATGTAATGGTGTGTTATACTGTAATGGTTATACATTATAATGTAATGGCGTGTTACATTGTAATGGTTATACATTATAATGTAATGGTGTGTTATACTGTAATGGTTATACATTATAATGTAATGGTGTGTTATACTGTAATGGTTATACATTATAATGTAATGGTGTGTTATATTGTAATGGTTATACATTATAATGTAATGGTGTGTTATATTGTAATGGTGTGTTATATTGTAATGGCCTGTTATACTGTAATGGTTATACATTATAATGTAATGGTGTGTTATATTGTAATGGTGTGTTATATTGTAATGGTGTGTTATATTGCCATATTTTAGTTTGTTGCTTAGTCCTTAACTAAAAGCTCTTTTCAAAAATGGCACTAGCCTATGCTGTGGGACCATAACTCGAACAAGACAAATAGACCTGTGTCGCTGCATGCAATTGATTGAGGTAATATATTTACTGAAGCATAAATGATCATTCCATAAAATCATTAGAGCCAAGAAACTTTCATGAAAATTATCATTGTACAATGAGTGTTGTATAATTTCAAACTATCGGCAAACAGGAAGTGACTGCATGGCAGATGTGAAAACTGCTTACAGTCTGTATTGATTAACCTCATTTTGGAGAAGCAGCAAATATTAATTTTCAAGTCTTTGGTATAGATGTCCAGGGTTCAAACCCAACACCTCCAACACTAATGTTGAACACAATACTACAACACCATAAAGATCAACGAGGTGGTTTTTATGAATTGATTTTTTTTTTATGTAATCTTAAAAAACATATTATACGATACATACTAATTAGATAAATACTGCTGAATGTGCCTCTGAGGTCAGACTAATTTATAAGTAAGGTTGTGCCATCATCTAAAGCATCTGTGAAAAATAACTATGAATCATATTTACTTGTTTAAGCCTGATAAATGTAAAATATATGTATCACTTAAAAATACTTCATTGGTATTTCCATTTATAGTTAACTGTTATGAATGTTTCTTATAAATATATCAATGTTTGTGGAGTATCTCCCTGTATAAACATATCAATGTTTGTGGGTTATCTCCCTGTTTCTTATAAACTTATCAATGTTTGTGGGTTATCTCCCTGTTTCTTAAACATATCAATGTTTGTGTATTATCTCCAGGCCTCTACAAAAACTTTTTTTACAACTTGTTCAATAGGACAAGTACATACTTACTTGTCCGAATGGAATTGTAACTTGTTCATAAAAAAAACCTTTATATTAACCTTTTTTTGCATTTTAGGTTGATTCAATGAACAAAATGAATTAAAACAATAGAACAGAATTTGATTTATATCTCTTGATATCCTTTTTAAAAATATGAGTCAAGAACAACTGAATCTTGTCATGTCTAGTCTCAGGACTTAGGTTCTAGTTTTCATCAATGCCAAAGTCTCATCACACTCTGCTCATCAGGCACAGTCTGGTAGGCCTGTCAGTCTACACTCATTTGTTTTGTATCCTGGTCTTTTTATGTTGATAGAATATTGATTATTATGCCTTACTACAATCAGCTTTGTTTTTAATAATATTAAAATGTTTATTCAGACACAATCAAATATTGTTTGTGTAAATATGATCAAATATGATTTTCTGAATTTTATGGTCAATGATTTCTTCATTTTCATTTTTAAAATATTTTTGTTATATAAAATTTATCATATATTTATTATAAAGCAATAGAAAAACGTAGGGAACCAAGGTACTGGTTTGTCTTGGTCCCGAAATGTCTCCAACAGTGCTGAACTGTCTATTAAACATGGAACTGATTCCTTTCCAAGCCGGTGCTGAATTGCCTCGTTACCTTATAACAAAGCGCACCGCTGATTCCGATTGGTAAGACTTGTTTAAGAGAATCTGTTATAAAGTATCTGACAAAGAACCAGTTTTTAATTATCGATCGCAAGTAAACATGTCAAATTGATATTTGTTTTTATCTTCTGTTCTGGTTTATTGTTTATTACTTTGATCATCAAAGTTGGATCTAATTTATTTTCTACAGAATGATTTTACTTGTCCCGTCGGACAAGCTTGATATAGCTTTTACTTGTCCGACCTTTTTTTCCTCTCCCTGTTTAAACATATCATTGTGTGTGTGTTATCTCCCTGTATAAACATATCAATATTTGTGTATTATCTCCCTGTTTCTTATAAACATATCAATGTTTGTGTGTTATCTCCCTGTATAAACATATCAATGTTTGTGTATTATCTCCCTGTTACTTATAAACATATAATGTTTGTGTGTTATCTCCCTGTATAACATATCAATGTTTGTGGGTTGTCTCCCCGTTTCTTATTAACATATCAATGTTTGTGTATTATCTCCCTGTTTTATATAAACATATCAATGTTTGTGGGTTATCTCCCTGTATAACATATCAATGTTTGTGGGTTATCTCCTTGTTTCTTATAAACATATCAATGTTTGTGTGTTATCTTCCTGTATAAACATACCAATGTTTGTGTGTTATCTCCCTGTTTCTTATAAACATATCAATGTTTGTGTTATATCTCCCTGTATAAACATATCAATGTTTGTGTTATCTAACATATCAATGTTTGGGATTGATTGATTGATTGTTTGTTGCTTAACGTCCAGTGGCAAATTCAATGTTTGTGTGTTATCTTCCTGTTTCTTATAAACATATCAAGGTTTGTGGGTTATCTCCCTGTATAAACATATCAATGTGTGTGAGTTATCTCCCTGTATAAACATATCAATGTTTGTGTGTTATCTCCCTGTATAACAGATCAATGTTTGTGGGTTATCTCCCTGTTTCTTATAAACATATCAATGTTTGTGTTATATCTCCCTGTATAAACATATCAATGTTTGTGGGTTATCTCCCTGTATAAACATATCAATGATCTCCCTGTTTCTTGTAAACATATCAATGTTTGTGTGTTCATGGTGTTATCTTCCTGTTTCTTATCAACATATCAATGTTTGTGTGTTATCTCCCTGTTTCAATAAAACAAACTTACAAAACAGGTATAATGTTGAATTATTTCTTATATGAATAATTCCTAACTTTTATGGCCAGCTTCATGAAAATATTGACCTTGTCATATGAGGTTATTTTTGAATTGTTGACTATATATTGACCTGTACACATCTCCATTCTTGCTTTGTTGGGTTGCTGTCTCAAATAAGCCATAATCCGAGGTCTGTGACCTTCCATTTATGGGTTCAGATCTTCCAACCAGTAGTTGGGTACAACCGACAGATTTTCATATTTTTGCAGGTTAAAAAGTTACAAAAGCATTTTGAAAATAAATATATGAAATCAAGAATAAAATAATCATGAAATATGCAACTTTACTGAAATAAAACTTATGCATTTGCTTAAATTCTTCACAATTGAATTGATGTGTAGTCATGTGACCGGTTCTAGTACAAGATCCTGAGAAACTCGAGAATATAATATTTAAACATAACCAGTAAACAGTATGAGTCTGTTAGGTTTTGGAGTGACCCCTTCCAAAAGAAAAACCTAATGAAACAGGAGATACAAAGGGGGTGATTGGAGAAATAGGGAATACAAGGGGGTGATTGATGAAACGTAGTCCTTAAAGCAGCCCGAAAGACAGGATCTGACTAAAGACCAAAAATTTGACAGAAAAAAACAAGAACGTAAATTTTTCCCACAAACAGTGAAAGGGAAAGTGCATTGGTCATTGGACAACAAAAATTAAAACTTGACCCCATAAAAAATCATGATGAAAAATAAACACCAAGCATCTATGTATCTTGCAAAAAAAAGTGGTTAAAAGAAACTGACCGCAAGTTTGAAAACGAAGTTGAGCTGTTAACTGACACAAAGTTAGGCTAGTGTTCTTAAGCAGCAATTGAAACAAAACCAATTATAAAGGTACAAAGTGTTAATTAACACAGCATATAGTGTTGGGAAAAGGGGAAGCCTTTTCTTGCTGAATTTATTTAAGAAATTCAGAAAAAAAGGTGGTTAATGTCATCATAATATTGTATACCAAAAGAAGAAGAAGAATGGGGGATGGGGGTCTAAGAATGTAGTAAGATATGATGGGTGTTTTGTTATGGTAAGCATTTTCTGTCTCTGTAAATTGAATTTTCAATAAAAATTATACCTTCTAAGGATAATGGAGGACCTTTAGGTATCTTTGATCAAAGGTCCTAAACCTTCCATTGCCTAAAGTAAATTTGAACCCCTGTCTCCCATCATCATGCTTATAGAGTTTAAACATTTTACATTTGAAACAAATTTCAATAGTAAATGATCCTATATAGTTCACATATAATGTACACTTACCTATAATAACAACTTGACTGGACAAGGATCTAATAAATACAAATAATAGATGTTCAAACTAAAAACATGGCTAAAAAAGAAAAAGACAAACAACAGTACACAAAACACAAAATGAAAAAAACTAAAGACTGAGCAACACATTAACCCCACCAAAATTTAGGGGTGATCTCAGGTGCTCCGCAAGGGTAAGTAGATCCTGTTCCACATATGGTACTCGTGGTGCTCATGAATGTAAGTACAAACACAGTGATGAGTCTAATTTAAAGATGCTTGTCAATGGTTGAATACAATTTTGACCTCTTTCATTGAATGGTTGCTGTCTCAATGACATAAACATCCCATCTCTCATTCACAAGTTGACTTCTTAGTTAAAAACTCTTGATTTTTTTAAGCAATTTACATTGTAATGATTGCAATGTTTTGTTAGACATGTTAGCTTTTTACCCACATATGCAATTAATTTTGTAATTATGTCATGTTATTTTTTGTTTCCCATATATACTGTATATAACATAAGAGTGCACACGCTGAAATGTCTCGCCTTCTTTACTGATCATTGATTTTATGTTGATAGTCCTAAATATAAATCTTAACTGAAAGTATCAAATAAACTTAACATGATTCAAGAAAATGAGGTCAAGGTCAGATAAACCAAACCGGAAATACATGTGCACCTTACCACATTTTGTGTACAATCATTCAATACACCAAATTTAGTTGATCTATTGCTTATAGTTTCTAAGAAACAGACTTAAACAGGAAAACTAAACATTGACCAATGAACCATAAAAATAAGGTCAAGGTCAGATGAACCATGCCAGACAGACATGTACACCTTACAATCAATCTATGCATTAAATATAGTTGACCTATTGCTTATAGTATCTAAGAAACAAACTTAACCATGAAAACTTAACATTGACTAATGAACCATGAAAATGAGGTCAAGGTCAGATGATACCTGCCAGATAGATATATACACCTTACAATCATTCCATACAACAAATATAGTTGACCTATTGGATTAGTTTAAGAAAAACAGACCAAAAACACAAAAACTAAACACTGAGCAATGAACCGTGAAAATGAGGTCAAGGTCAAATAAAACCTGCCAGACTGACATGTACATTGTAAAATATTTCCATACACCAAATATAGTTGACCTATTGCATATAGTATTAGAAAAAAAGACCAAAACACAAAACTTAACTTTAACCACTGAACCATGAAAATGAGGTCAAGGTCAGATGACACCTGCCAGTTGGACATGTACACCTTACAATCATTCCATACACCAAATTAAGAAGACTTATTGCTTATAGTATCTGATATATGGACTTGACCATGAAAACTTAACCTTGTTCACTGATCCATGAAATGATTTCGAGGTCAGATGAAAACTGTCTGACAGGCATGAGGACCTTGCAAGGTACGCACATATTAAATATAGTTATCCTATTACTCATAATAAGAGAGAAATTAACATTACAAAAAATCTTAACTTTTTTTCAAGTAGTCACTGAACCATGAAAATGAGGTCAAGGACAATGGACATATGACAGACAGAAACTTCATAACATAAGGCATCTATATACAAAGTATGAAGCATCCAGGTCTTCCACCTTGGAAAATATAAAGCTTTTAAGAAGTTAGCTGCCGCCACCGCTTGATCACTATCCCTATGTCGAGATTTCTGTGACAAAAGTCGCAGGCTCGACAAAAAGGAGATTAGTGCAAAATGTTAATCCTGTTAGCTCTTTATTATCTCCCCTTTAAGAATTTTGACATTTACAATTGAAATATATTTCTGAATTTCATTTGATAAAATAAATAACCAAACATTCCAATACAATTTGACTTTAATCATGATAATATTCACTTACCTTTACTAAGTAATAAATTTACTGGACTTGAATCAAATAAAAACAGTAGATCTTTAAACTGAAAATATAAAATAGCTCAATTTCAGTTCTTCACATATTTATATAAATATCGGTGGAACCATTTCTGAATATACTTGTTTAGCTTGTGACAAGTAACTTGTCATGAATGAAAAAAGAAGAGATATAACCTACCATAGTACCATACAAAGCTCAGTGTTATAGTTTTAGGACAAATTCATAACAGAATGAAGGCCTGTTATTTGCAAGGCTGTCTAATGGGAGTTATTTTTGTGTTACGTCACTATAATGTTAATAGTCAACCTTTTTAATCTGAATCTCAACTTTATAAGTCTTTTAATTATATTTTTGGTCTCCACAATAGGGGAACTTCCCCCTCCCTTGCTATCGGTGTGGCATGTTATTATTTTAGAAATATTAGTTTGACTTCTACATGCTCTATGTTCTATTTTAGACAAGGAGGCCATATTGATTGATCAATCTGGAGAAAAAACCACAAACTTTGTAGTTGCCGGGCTCACACTACTTTAGAATCATAGGGAGAAGTGACTACTATTTTAGACAAGGAGGCCATATTGGTTGATCAATCTGGAGAAAAACCACAAACTGTGTATTTGTCGGGCTCACACTACTTTAGAATCATAGGGAGAAGTGACTTCTATTTTTGAAACTAAAATTGAAAATGAAAAAAGTGGCGAGACTTAAAAATAGAAGTGTTTGATCGCTCGCATCACTACAATGGTCCATCATTTATAGTTACACAATTATATTTTTCCTGTTGTATGAAACTATCAACTTAAATTCTAGCACTAACTTTTTTTTTAATGTAAAACAGGAAAAGAAACAGAAAGTATCATATAAATGTATATCAATTAAAATTCAATTTAAAAACTATTCTGTTTATAATGTTTATGAAATTCATTATTTCTCATTAAACAGTCAGGGGTGCTACTTAAACAAGTGATTTCATCATCAATTATTTCAGTGATTTGATAAATTCATTTATCACCTATTTAAGTGATTTTAGTGTTTTCTTTGATCTTCAAATGCTAATTTCATTGATTTTCCATATTTTCACAATCTTTTCTATAATTTTCCTACATAAATCAATTATCCCTTTTTCTTTGTATATAGACAGGTTTTTCCGATTATCTGCCTTAATTTGTGATACGACTCCTAGGCGTTGTCGTAATACTATCGCCATTACAACCGTGAAAAAAAAAAACAAGATATAGATCTATATGCCCTGACCGCATATAATTAAATGTAAACACAAGAATGTGAAGTCGTACTTGACCGCGGCAAAATTATATGTTCTATAAATAATAAAGTAATTAGATAAGGATTCTAAGTGTATTTCAGGCCAGGTGTCGTGTCCTTAAAATATAACTGTATTTGTATGTTACACGCGGGGCATAATAAATTTTATACCAATACTAGTCCCAGGTTACATGTCGATTATAATCATTTGGTAATCACATTATTAATAATTATAACGCATACATAAATAAAAAATAAATAGTCTTGACCGGTCGAATGTGATATATCAGAAAAACCAGGGTGAATTTTATCAAATCATAGAAATTTCTGTGGTCAGACATATAATGAGACAGTCCTAAAATTTAATAATCCACTAATCAGACGGACCTACAGAGACGAGAGTTTTGTGCTTTTTGCTTGACTCGCGTATAATACTCAAAATTGATTGACATTTTCGTATTACTTTGGCAGGGGCGGATCCAGGATTTTGGAAAGAGGGGCGTAGTATTAATTTAAAAGTTCTTTTTTTTTTACCTTTTTTGGCAAAATTTCTTTTGCAGAAAAATACTCGACATACAACTACTATAGTATGTATAGTATATAACATCATGCTCCAGTCCGTGCTTAATATAAATGAATGCCATTAAACCACCAAAGACTCCATGTAAATTCAAAGCGATGATTAGTTATGTTTTGAAGCGTCATTTAGTGTTTTGCCAACTCCCCTCCAAAGTTCCCAACCACTCCAAAACAGATGTCTCGTAGATTTTCATCCTTAATCCGTATTAGACTCTTATATAAGTCCCAGGTGTATATAATACAGTGAAATACAGTATTGCAATATAACCGTGATTAGGGGTGTATTTTACTGAACTGTCGGAATTTTGGGTTGTCGGATTATAGCTACGCTTTTGTAGGTTCTAGTAAACTATTTGATTACCAAAAGAGTAAGACCTTTGAAAAATCCTTTCTAATGTATGAAATTTTAGAATTCATGCACAGAAGAATCTACTGAGGAAAGTTCAAATCAACAGAAGTAAATGTATACGTCTTATAAAGAAAATAAAGTGAATATATACTATACGGCACACAGACCTACATATATATATAAATAAAACCTTTTAAGTTTTTCAGCAAGAACTGCACCCAGGAATAAAATATTTTACAAGCCTTACTTTTCAAAATATTAAAGCGCCGTCCCAAATAACCAAATATCAACCTAAGTGTTAACCTCATCAGTACGATCGAGCAACAGCTGATCTGCAATATCGTAGTTGAAAATTAAATTGTGTAGTAATTCCACTATAGTAAAGAAAACTAAGTAACATATATATATATAAGTATACAATAAGGCGTCCCTGTCATTCATAATATTTCTTAAACGGCTGACGAGGTCCCCCTCCTTTTATTTAATTTTGAACTCCTTACTCCTCTGTTAAAAATGTTTTTGTCTGAGTTAATATTGTCAGAATGTCTGTTCAATTGCTACATGTAGCCTCGGGGTAGGTTTCATTATTATTAGCTTCATTTATGGTTAATCCAGACATTTTACCGCTTCCACTACAAAAGTTTGGGGCACGCACCCCCCCCCCCCCCCCTTTTTTTCAAATTCCTGGATCCGCATCTGATGTTGCGGTGGATCTTCTATACAAAAAGAGGGAGATGCACTGTAGTCATCGGATTAAATTTTATAGATTAATTTGAGTTTTTAACAGTCGTTTTACATCGTGTAAACATTCGTCAGCCAGTGTTATTTGACTTTCATAAGTTTTATTTAAAAAAAAAATGTCCGGACCATACAAAAACCTATTTATGCAAATTTTTTTTAGGTTTATACGGCTTTGATCCACTCAGATTTGTTGGCTCGTCTGGAGGCATCAGAGTCATAAGACGTATATGAAATCAACCGAGAGCAGTCATTGTGCAACTCGTTGTGTAATTCGCATATTGATTTTTTTTCCACACCTGAAGTTTTTTACGATTATGTGTACAACTATTAACTGCACAAGAAATGCTTCCATGTTTTTTATAACTTTTGGCAGCATCCATAGTAAAATAAATCAGAAAATGAAAGAAATACAAATGTAAACAGAAAATCGATAATGTTTTGATCAATACACGTGCGTTATTTTTCACGGTTGTAATGGCGGATCGGTCACGTGAGAGGTTAATGGAAGCGCCCATGTTTTCTAGGTCAATTACAGATAAACCCGTCTATTAATTTCACCAGTGCGCTTGGGCAGTTAGTTAGTGCCTAAAGCTTTTAAAAGTACCCTTGGGAATTTTTCTGTAATCAAAAATTCATTAACTACTCTTACTATCAGACAAAGATCAACAATATTAGGTAACCTGATTGGTTTTCTTTAGAGTTAGAATGATCTACTTCAAGGTTATGACCTGATCTACAAACTATTCCAGTTTTTGCATATTTTAAAAAAGTGTCAGGCTTATCAAGCAAAAGACAATTTCTGCATATGCATATTTGTTTTTTCAATGGAATTGTTGTCTTTTTACCAATAAAAAAATCAAGCTTGTGGAAAAAATATCAAGAAAATGTTATAGAGTGATTCTGGTCATGTCACTCTAACGTTATTAGCCTGACTATCTCTACTGGGAGTCATTTTGTGTCATGTCACTCTAACATTAATAGCCAGACTATCTCTACTGGGAGTCATTCTGGTCATGTCGTTCTAATGTTAATAGCCAGACTATACCTACTGGGAGTCATTCTGGTCATGTCGCTCTAACGTTTATAGCCAGACTATCTCTACTGGGAGTTATTTTGTGTCAAGTCAATCTAATGTTAAAAGTCAGACTATCTCTACTGGGAGTCATTTTGTGTCAAGTCAATCTAATGTTAAAAGTCAGACTATCTCTACTGGGAGTCATTTTGTGTCATGTCACTCTAACGTTAATAGTCAGACTATCTCTGGTCATGTCACTCTAACGTTAATAGCCAGACTATCTCTACTGGGAGTCATTCTGGTCATGTCACTCTAACCTTAATAGCCAGACTATCTCTACTGGGAGTCATTTTGTGTCATGTCACTCTAACATTAATAGCCAGACTATCTCTACTGGGAGTCATTCTGGTCATGTCACTAACCTTAACCCTTTCCCTTTCGGGCATTTTAGACCATTACTTATCGAAAAGACACTATCAAAGTTCAATTGAATACTGCATTCGCACCAATGGTCATGCACATGCCATGTTGGGCTCATATGAAAGATAATTGATCAAATATTTCAGAAAATTACGTTTAAAGATAATTCGTCCTTTTTTGGTCAAGTGGGATGTTTAGAAAAGTCACCTGACTTTTGGAGAAAATGTGAAAAAATACGAAATCCTTGGGACAAAAGTCGTGTAGAGACATATTGTTGCGCTAATAGGGTAAGGTTTTGGTGGAAACACAATGCCCCAAGTCTGTTAAAGACATACAAGTTATCATATTGGTATTAAAAGAGGAAATACGTGCTATATGCCTTGAAATCTCAATGTCCGTAACATTCAAAATAACTGATTTCAGACGCTCTTTTCGTCCAATTTCAAACTCGGACACTAGTTTTTTGTCTAAATCGATTTCAGTCAAGCAGTAACCTAAATTTTGTTTTTCTCAAGACGTGAAAAAAATTAAAGAACCTTAGTGAGCGCGCTCACATACCCCACATCCCCACATTGTCATTGGAGAAATAAAATATGTGTAAGGAAAAAAAATTGAATCATAATTTCCTGTCAATATGCACGTCTACATAGTATGTCCTTATTATCTACAAAGTTTC